CGCGGGCCGCCGGCCGCAGCGGGCGCAAAGGCTACAGCGAAGGCGCCGACTGTGGCGTCCTTCAAAGGATAAGCTCGGGGATAGCGCTGACGAGCGCCCGAGGGCGCGCCTGGCGTGGGCGGGCGGCCTCCAGCGGCGCAAAGGCTACAGCGAAGCCGCCGACCTGTGGCGTCCTTCAAAGATTAGCTCGGAGGACAGCGCTGACGAGCGCCCGAGGCACGCCTGGCGTGGGTTGCGGCCGCTGCGGGCGCAAAGGCTACAGCGAAGGCGCCGACTGTGGCGTCCTTCAAAGATAGCTCGGAGATAGCGCTCACGAGCGCCCGAGGCACGCCTGGCGTGGGCCGCGGCCGCAGCGGGCGCAAAAAGGCTACAGCGAAGGCGCCGACTGTGGCGTCCTTCAAAGATAGCTCGGAGATAGCGCTCACGAGCGCCCGAGGCACGCCTGGCGTGGGCCCCGGCCGCATAGGCCTTAAGGCTACAGCGAAGGCGCCGGCTGTGGCGCCCTTCAAAGATAGCTCGGAGATAGCGCTCACGAGCGCCCGAGGCACGCCTGGCGTGGGCGTCGGCCGCAGCGGGCGCATAGGCTACAGCGAAGGCGCCGACTGTGGCGTCCTTCAAAGATAGCTCGGAGATAGCGCTCACGAGCGCCCGAGGCACGCCTGGCGTGGGCCGCGGCCGCAGCGGGCGCAAAGGCTACAGCGAAGGCGCCGACTGTGGCGTCCTTCCAAGATAGCTCGGAGATAGCGCTCACGAGCGCCCGAGGCACGCCTGGCGTGGTCGGCGGCCGCAGCGGGCGCAAAGGCTACAGCGAAGGCGCCGACTGTGGCGTCCTTCAAAGATAGCTCGGAGATAGCGCTGACGATCGCCCGAGGCACGCCTGGCGTGGGCGGCGGCCGCAGCGGGCGCAAAGGCTACAGCGAAGGCGCCGACTGTGGCGTCCTTCAAAGATAGCTCGGAGATAGCGCTCACGAGCGCCCGAGGCACGCCTGGCGTGGGTTGCGGCCGCAGCGGCCGCAAAGGCTACAGCGAAGGCGCCGACGGTGGCGTCCTTCAAAGATAGCTCGGAGATAGCGCTCACGAGCGCCCGAGGCACGCCCGGCGTGGGCAGCGGCCGCAGCGGGCGCAAAGGCTACAGCGAAGGCGCCGACTGCGGCGTCCTTCAAAGATAGCTCGGAGATAGCGCTCACGAGCGCCCGAGGCACGCCTGGCGTGGGCCGCGGCCGCAGCGGGCGCAAAGGCTACAGCGAAGGCGCCGACTGTGGCGTCCTTCAAAGATAACCCGGAGATAGCGCTCACGAGCGCCCGAGGCACGCCTGGCGTGGGCCGCGGCCGCAGCGGGCGCAAAGGCTCAGCGAAGGCGCCGACTGTGGCACCCTTCAAAGATAGCTCGGAGATAGCGCTCACGAGCGCCCGAGGCACGCCTGGCGTGGGCCGCGGCCGCAGCGGGCGCAAAGGCTACAGCGAAGGCGCCGACTGTGGCGTCCTTCAAAGATAGCTCCGAGATAGCGCTCACGAGCGCCCGAGGCACGCCTGGCGTGGGCCGCGGCCGCAGCGGGCGCAAAGGCTACAGCGAAGGCGCCGACTGTGGCGTCCTTCAAAGATCGCTCGGAGATAGCGCTCACGAGCGCCCGAGGCACGCCTGGCGTGGGCGGCGGCCGCAGCGAGCGCAGGGCTATAGAGCGATGCGCCCGTCCGTGGCGCCCTTGCAAAGTGTTAACTCGGAGATAAAAAAAAAAAAAAAAAAAAAAAGAAAAAAAAAAAAAAAAAAAAAGAAAAAAAAATAAAAAAATAAAAAACAAAAAAACAAAAAAAAAAACAAAAAAAAAAGAAAAAAAAAAAAAAAAAAAAAAAAAAACAAAAAAAAAAAAAAAAATAAAAATAACAAAAAAAAAAAAAAAAAAAAAATAAAAAAAAAAAAAAAAAAAAAAAAAATAAAAAAAAAAAAAAAGAAAAAAAAAAAAAAAAAAAAAAGCGCCCAGAGTGCGCCAGGCGCCGCGCCAGGCGTGGACCGCGGCCGCAGCGGGCGCGGGGGCGAGGCCGAAGGCGCCGTCTGTGGCGCCCTTCAAAGATAGCTCGGAGATAGTGCCCAGAGTGCGCCAGGAGCCACGCCAGGCGTGGACCGCGGCCGCAGCGGGCGCGGGGGCGAGGCCGATGGCGCCGTCTGTGGCGCCCTTCAAAGATAGCTCGGAGATAGCGCCTAGAGTGCGCCAGGCGCCACGCCAGGCGCGGGCCGCGGCCGCAGCGGGCGCGGGGGCGATGCCGAAGGCGCCGTCTGTGGCGTCTTTCAAAGATAGCTCGGAGATAGCGCCCAGAGTGCGCCAGGCGCCACGCCAGGCGTGGGCCGCGGCCGTAGCGAGCGCGGGGGCGAGGCCGAAGGCGCCGTCTGCGGCGCCCTTCAAAGATAGCTCGGAGATAGCGCCCAGAGAGCGCCAGGCGCCACGCCGAACATGGACCGCGGCCGCAGCGGGCGCGGGGGCGAGGCCGAAGGCGCCGTCTGTGGCGTCCTTCAAAGATAGCTCGGAGATAGCGCCCAGAGTGCGCCAAGCGCCACGTCGGGCGTGGGCCGCGGCCGCAGCGGGCGCAGGGGCGAGGCCGAACCTGGCTTCCACAGAGGTCCCCCCAAGCATTTCAAGGGGTCTGCCGTGGAGGTGCTGCCGCAGCCATGCGCGCGCATCGTAGCGAGAGGGTGCCAGACCCACCCCCTCGCGCGCCCCCTCCCGCCTTCCGAAGCTCGCGCCGAAAGCGTCTGCGTCGATGCAATCGCTTCAGCGGGGGCGACCCCAAAGGCGAAACCCAAAGCCGCGGGCGAATGCAACTGCCGTGCGCGTCGCCGTCAGCGAGGAGCCCGACGGCGCAGCCACTCGCTTGAAGCGCAGGGGAACCCATGGGATTGTCACGCCAGCGTCCTTGCAGTGCTGCTTGCCAATGCCGACGGCAAATGCCGGACCCTTGTGGATCTGCTGCGCCAGCGGCAGCCCAACGTCAAAGCTCCACACAGAAGGCGCAAACGGCTGCCTCATCGACGAGGCGACCTGGCGCGCCAGCGCCATGCACCCTGCGCGCGCAATCGCATGGGCGCGCATTGCCACGGCCGCGGCCGCGCGCGCGCTCCCAGCATTCGCAGCCCAGTGTCGCAACCCAGTGCCGACAGCAAAAGCGACAACACATGAGCATGCTGCGCCAGCGGCAGCCCAGCGGCGAAGCTCAACGCCGCCATCGCCAACGGCTGCCTCTTCGACGGGACAACGAGCCGAAGCGCCGCCTACGCCACGCGCCCTGCGCGCGTGCTCACGTGGATGCGCAGCGCCACGGCCGCGTCGGCGATCGCCTGCGCGCGCCACTTCGACAGCCCCCCGCGATAGGTTGGGGGAGAAGCCCTAAACCCTAAAAGGCTTCACTCTGGGTGGTCTGGGGCGGGAGTGCGACTAACCGTGGCGCGCGCGGCTTGGGCAGCGATCCCCCCCAACAACCTTGATGCGGGGGGGATCGCAGCCAGCGCGCGCTTGCGCCAATGCAGGCCTTAAACCCTAAACCCTAAACCCTAAACCCTAAACCCTAAACCCTAAACCCTAAACCCTAAACCCTAAACCCTAAACCCTAAACCCTAAACCCTAAACCCTAAACCCTAAACCCTAAACCCTAAACCCCAAACCCCAAACCCTAAACCCTAAACCCTAAACCCTAAACTGCAAGCCACGGGCGGTGCAACGTCAGTAGCCCGTGGCGCCTGGCCGAGCGCTCAGCGAGCCTGCCCATACAGCGTGCGCCGCACCGACGAAGCGGCGATAGCCGCTGAGGAGGAATTCGCACGCCGCGCGGTGCATCCCCGTGGTGTTCTCCTAAGAAAAGGAACCCCTAACCCTCAGCCCTAGCAAGCGGGTCCCCCGCGACGGCCTACATCCCCCGGGGCTGCAAACCCTATGAAAATACAGCATTCGGGGCCCCTGGGGCCTTCACAACGTATAGAAATACAGCATGCGGCGCTCCTGGAGCTTTCCAAGCGTTGTCGAACATTTTTACAGGAAGTCTGAAGAATTCACCGTGCGCCACGCATGCGGGCGGCGCCACGCCCTGGGGCTGCAAATCGTATGCAAATACTGCATTCGGCGTTCTTCGGGCTTGCAAACCTTTTGAAAATTCTGAACGCGGCTCTCCTGGGCTTTTCTAAACGTTCTGAAGCGATTCGTCACGAATTCCGGACGCCCGGCTCTAAGCATGCGCTCGCGATGCGAGGGGGCGCCAGACCCGCCCCCTCGCGCTCCCCCTCCCGCCGCTCGCATTCTCTGGGTTCCCGAAGACTTTTGGAACAGATTCTAAGGAAACTTTGATCCTGGGCATCCACTGATATGCAAAGGCATCCCGAAGTGCGAGGGGCGCCACGCCCGCCCCTGCTCCGATACTGCTTGCACCATACCCCATCGTTTTTTGTTATTATGCTCCCGTGCTGTCCGCTCGTAACGTGCATCAAAAGTCTGTCGGGGTCTTCGTGGGTCTTCAGACGTACTCACGAGCCTTCGGCTGTTTTCCAGCTTCTCCGAAGTCTTCGACGCCAGACGGCCTCGGCCTTCTGGCGGCCCTGCTGTGGTATTGTCTCCAAATTCATGTCTTGGCATTTTGCGCTCTCCCGTGCCATCCGATCCCGCCGTGCATCGGCGGTCTTCAGGGTCTTCGCCCGTCGCCTGACATGCTCGCAAGTCTTCGGCGGTCTAACGGATACCCAGGGATCTCCAACGCTCTACACGCTCAGTCTTCGGCAGTCTTCACGAGCCTGCAAACACTCTCGCGGGTCTTCGGCGGTCTCCCGGCTCCTCGGAGATTCTCAGGCCCTGCAACATTCTTGCATCTGATTTTTTCTCAACCCTGCCGCGCAGCGCAAACAACGACTTCAGTCCCGCTCGACAGGTCTGCTGCGTCGCTGCTGCGAGCGGCGCCGGGAAAGGCACGCGTCCGGCCGTGGCGAGCCGCCGCGGTCCGCATCCTGCAATTCCGCCTCTCAGGTTTCAGAAGGCCGGAATGAAGCTCTCCCGTTCTACGTGGCCGCCGATCAAGTAGTCATCCGAAGTGGCAACGCGGCTCAAGGCCGTGTACCCCGCCGCCGGCCTCGGATACCCGTCCAGGTAAATCGTGATGTGAGGAAATTCATCCCCTTGCACCTTGTCTATTGTGCTGGCATACCCCGGGCGGATGGGGAAGTACACAGCGTTCCCCTTGTCCCGATCGGTCCACCTAGAGATCGCCAGGCGGTGGCCCGTTTTGGTGCGCACGCGCAGCATGTCCTCGTCGGCATGATAATTCTCCACCTCGCAGAGCATGCCGTTCACGTAGTCATCCTCTTTTCGCACGTTCTTCGTCAAGTAGACCTTCATCTTCTTGTGCACGGGAACTGCGCTTGGAATGGGCCGGCGGTCCGTGCGAAACTTGCCGTCCCAATAATTCTCCGGATTCAGCTCCACGTCCCCGGGGAGCGTGCCCAGGGGACTCTTCCGGCCGTACAGAGCAACGATGGCGGCCTCATTCACGGTGGCGGCGCCTTTGCGCGTGCAGGTCACAATCCGCGTCTCCGGGTGCTTCTCGAACAGCGCCTTCAGGTCTGCCGGAGTCGGCGCGCCGATCTTCCAAGCCTTGTGGCCGCGACAGATCTTCTGCAGCGTTTCCTTCGACGGCTTGCTGGTGCGGAGCTGGTCCAGGATGTGCTGGAAGCGTTCCTCCTTGCAGCGCCACGTCTCGCCCAGCTTCACGTGGTAGCAATTCGGGCGAGGCCACGCAGCGCTCTCCCACGGACGCGTCTCTCCAACCCCCGGCAGCTGGTACTTCTCCCCAAGGAAGACCAGCGCGGGCACTTTCTCTGCCACGCTCCACAGTTTGATCAGTCGCTCGAACTGCGGGCAGTCCAAGAGCGACACCTCGTCCACGACGACCAGGTCGTACATGGTCATCAGCGGGAGCGCCTCTGTGATGGGTTGGTTCAGCTTGAACGCCGCATGGCACGTCGCGATCTCTACGCTCTCCAGGTCCTGCAAGACCTGCTTCATGCGACTCGACAGCTGCGCCGTCGGGAGGGCGAACAGGACGCGGGCGCCTCGCTCCTGCGCGCGGCGGATGCAGCACTTTACGACCGTGGTCTTCCCCGTCCCTGGCTTTCCGAGGCATACTATCGGTTTGTTCTTCTGGAAAGCCTCCTCGCGTGCCTCGTCTGCCTCCTCCCAGTTCTCCGAATGATTCGCCTGCAGAGCGCGGTCCACGCTCTCGTTTACCGTCTCCTCGAAGTGCAACTGCTTCCGAAGGAAGGTCACGTCAGGTTGCGCTCCATCGCGCGCCTGCCGGCGGCCCCCGGTCGCGGCGGCCTCGGCGTCCCGCGCGGTTCTCTCGTCGTTCTTGTCCAGGACACCCGTGAGGTACATGTCGATGAGCTTCCGCTGCCCGACAATCATGCGGTATACGCTCTCGCTGAACTTCTGGGAGCTCGCCGTGCTTTTCATGTGATCCATGAACTTCCTCTCGTCGACGAACAGCTCGCGGAATTCCTCGGGGACTCTGCTGCGGTCGGCGCAGAGCTTCAGCGCCGCGGCGAGGTGCCGGAACTTCGCCGGCACGAGCTTGTCCACCACGTCGAATCGCAAATCCTCCAAGTCCCGGAATGGCACGTTCATGGCCGCCCATTGCCCGTAGTACCTGTCGTTGAACTCGAAAACCGTGTCCACCGCGACAATCTTCTCGCCTCTCACGACGTAGTCCCGCGCGAACTCCTCCAGCGAGGGGAACTCGGCGGCGCTCGCGCCCGCGCGCACGGACATCTCCTCCATCCACACCAAGAACGGGGCACCCTCGCCGCTCTGCTTGTACTGCTTTCGGAGATCGCTGCGATATCCCGCGGGCGACGGCGGCTCTCCTCCGGGCGTCAACGTGGCGCAGTGATGCTGGTACGCGGCCTCGTATAGAGCCGCCTTGTGGCGAGCTTTCAGCCACCCAGCAATCCCGCCATCGTCGTTCGTCTTCCGCAGCCACTCCAGCAGGCACATCTCCTTGCTCCGCCACTCGCAGGTGGCGTACTTCTCCACCCACGCGGGCGCCTCCGCCATGCCGACGTAAGGAGCTGTCACCGACCTCCACCCTCCGCTGACCGTGGAGATGTCGACCTGGCGGAACTGCGCACCGCAGAGCTGCAGAATCATCTCGGGCTCGTACGGGTGGCACTCGAAGCAGACTCTGCGGGCCACGCTGTCCGCGGACGCCTGGTCATTCATCCACTCGTCGTAGCTCGAGTCCGAGAATTTTGCCACGTACTTCGTGACGTATTGCAAAAGCAGCGACTCCCCATCCGATTCCAACCAGTCCTGGTGGATGGGGACCGCGTCCATGACGTCTACACAGAAAGCGCGGAGTCCCGCTTCCTTGTCGGCCTGGGAATGCTGGAGCAATAATCCCACCAGCCCTCTGGGCGTAGGTGGTCTAGAGCAGATCCTCTTCCACCCCTCCCTCTTCCCCCTTGGGGAGGGGTTTACCCCTCCCCCTACCCCCTCCCCTGGACCTGGACGGGGGGGGGCCGCGGGTAGTTAGAGCGTCCCAGATGGCCCAAGACGGCTCCAAGAGCGCCTCAGAGAACCCAAGATGAGCTCCAAGATGGCTCAAGATAGCGCAAGTTCGCTCGAGATGGCTCCTAAGATGGTTCCAAGAAGCCCAAAGACGGCCCCAAGATAACTCCAAGTGGCCAAACAGCTCCCCAAGGAGGCCCCGAAGAGGCCAAATCGTCCCAAAACCTAAGGAAAATCAATGATTTTTGCTTTCTCGCCTTTTCGCTTCCGATGGCCATCCGAGGCCTGGAGATGGCTCCAAGATGGCCCAAGAGTGCCCCAAGAGAGCCCCAAAAGAGCCCCAAGACGGCCCCAAGAGCGCCCAAGAGCACTCCAAGAGCGTTCCAAGAGGGGTCCAAGAGGCGATTTTAAGGGCTTCCGAGGGGGGGCGCTAATTCACCCCCCCCTCTTGTTTGATCGACTCCCTCCAAGATGGCCCCAAGAAGCGCCCAGGAAGCCCCAAGAGGTCCCAAGATGGCCCCAAAATGGCCCCAAGAGGCCCCCAAGAGGCCCCCCGGAGGCCCCCAAGAGACCCCCAATAGGCCCCAAGAGCCCCCCCAGATGCACCCAAGATGCTCCAAGAGGCCTCGGCGAGAATGCCTAATCATTGATTCTACACAGGTTTTAGCCACATGGAGGCCTCTTGGGGGGGGGCACGGATTAAGATGACTCCAAGAGCGTCTGGGAGAGCCCAAGATGTCTCATAATGGCTTCCTCTGTGTGCTGCCCACTTCTCTGATCGAGGCAATTCCTCTGGGCATCGTTTCTGGATGGGCTGGTGGGGATTCGCGAAGCGACAACAATTTCTCTGCTTGACTATGGTACCCTGGCTCTCCACTGTACACCGGCCACTTGCTCTCGGAAGCGCCCCGCTTGTCCAACTGCGAGCCGTCGATGTAGCCCTTCAGGTGATCGCTGAACTCATCAGGCTTCGAAGCGAAGAGGTGCCGCTCGAGCTTGGCGTCGGCCAGGACGTCTTCTTCCGCGAAGAACAGCACATGCAAGTGTGGGCGCCCTGATCCGTCGTAGCGCTTCGTCCCCTCCTTGCGGCTCCCGTCCTGGAACTCCAAGCGCGTGAACGACGTGACAGTATTCGTCGTCTTGCCGTCCTCGGTCTTGCAGGAGAAGACGTGCTTCTTCCACCTTCGATCAGCCCGATCCTGGCTCTGCTGGTTGTTGCCTGCGATGACGCCGCGGACGATCTGCATGAGCGAGTGGGTGATGTGCAGGGTCTCGCCCACGGGCAAGTGCATCCTCGTCCTCAGCGTCTTGTGCATCTCGTCGCGGAGCCACTCGTGGTACGGGAAGGACTGCTCCCATGGCGCTATCGTGAAGAACAGCTTGGGCAGCCCCACCTGTCGAACGAGGTCCACGAGCGCGTTCAGCGTGTCCTTCTAGTACAGCGGGGAAAACGGGTGGCCCTTCATGCGGATGCGCATTGGCACGTTCTCCAAGTTCAAATTTTTCTTCGCCCCTAAAGTAGCCCAGAGGTTCAAGTCGAAGACGAACCGGAGAAGCTCGAAGTCGCTTTGATACCCAATCAGGTTAGAGAGGCACTTCGCCATGAAAGAGCGCTTGACACTGGTGCGTTGCCCTCCGTCGTCGCCCTGCTCCAGCTCGTCCGCGCCGCACTTGCCATGCCCGTCGTCTGCATCGGAGTCATCGCTGTCGTAGCCGTACTTGGCGCGCTTCTTCTTCGGGTCCTTCGCCTCGCGATTCTCTTCGCGCCGCACGTCAGACCACTGCTCGTGGGTCTCTGTCATGTCCGTGCGCCAGTACAGGTTGGGCCACAACGCGCACTCGAGGCCGACCTCCTGGAGGAAATGGTACGGGCGTCTTCTCTGTCTGTCCGCCGAGTCTTCCCCGCGCTTGGCAATGAACTTCTCGTGCATGTCGTGGAACCGCCGGTACGCTGACTCCTCGCACGAGAGCAAATACCTGTGCGCCTTCCTGGCTGTGCTTCGCGCCTGCTTCCCCTCCAGCTCCTTGATCTTGTCCTCCACGTGCCACTTC